GACCAAACCTGCCAAAAATTAAATTTTTTGCTCTTTTTGGATTTTGCAGTGATCAGTTTATGTTTTTGGGGATATTTGCTACTCTAGACATTCTTAACGAACAGTAAATTTGTATTTGAAAAAGAACATATCTATGAATTTGACACAAATTGCCCTATATTTCAGCATTAGAGTCAAACATTTTCAGGTCAGTCTAGCTTTAGAAAATAGCCTATCACAAACCGGAAATATCTTCGGTCGCAGTCATTATTATTACGATAAGTCAATCATTTCTTGTTGTATCTTTCGACGACATTTCTTTTTTAGGAGTTATGATGAAAGTTTGTGTTATAATCATAGAATATCATTTAATTATATTCATCATATTGGACAATATATATTGAGTGATCTTGCTGGTATTTATACATGTGGTCTTTTAAATGGAACATTAATTATAAATAATGTTTTACATGATATTTATGGATATTTTTTGTATGATTGGGGTCTTTATTTAGCTGATGGAACTTCACAATTAATGATAACAAATACAATTGTTTATAATACAGGTTCAGCTGCTTTAACTATGATTTATGGTTTTAATAATACATTTCAAAATAATATTCTTGCTCGATCAAGTAATCAAAGTGATGGTGCTCTTTCATTATATCGTCGTGAATCACCTAATCATTTATCATTTACTTTTCGACATAATATTATTTATGATATTGTGAATGAAAGTGGACGTTGGATATTTCAAGTTCAAGCACCAGATCCATTTTCATCACCTTTTGTAATTATGGATTATAATTGTTATTTTAATACGTATGGAAATATGATGATTTTTGGTCTTGGAAGACTTGTTTTTAGTGAATGGCAAGAAACGAATCATGATATGAATAGTTTCATAACAGATCCACTTTTTATTCATGCTGAAAGTCAATGTAATTTTTTTAATATTAGTATTGATAGTCCAGCTGTGAAAAACCTAGGTTTTATACCAATTAAACAATTATTTCAATGGAAATCTGGATGTTAAACATATAAATATTTTTTGTTGTTGTTGTTGTTAGTTTACAAATGTCAATATTGGATAGATTGTTGCAATTTTTATAAAGTTTATTTTCCTATTGACGATTCTATTTAGAATTGCAAAAGTAACGATTCAGTCTGGTACATAGAATTTTCGATTTCATCAGATTGTGTTGTTGCTGAAACTTTCAATAAATGAAATGAAAAATATTGATCTTACATGAGAATATGTTGAGAGATGGTTGTTGTATATTATCATGGTAAATGAAGTATCAAATAAAACCAATTTTGAATTTATGAACGATTGATTTTAGAAAGGCATATATGTATAAAGAAGGAAGTATTAGATTTCGATATTTCATTTAGAACAAATGTTTAATTAGGGAAAAAAACCTAGTAAAGCCATATTTAAATAGAAAAGTTTCTTACTATTTTTAAAATCAATGCTGCAGGTTATTAACTTGAAATCTTCATATATCTAACGTAAATCTTAAGATAAATTATAATTATTGGCTGGATATAAGATGAGTCTTGTGAAAGAGAACTAAATATTTTGGATAGATATTGACTAGCTGATTTGTTCTTTTTTTTTTGTTATTGATAAAGTAATATTCATAATGCACGAATAAGAGTCATCGATTTAGATTTAGATAAGAAGAATTTTAATCAAATTTAAGCGATATTCAAAGAAGTTTTATTATAATTTATAGTGACAATTCAATATTTATTGCGGGTGTAA